CTTTTTCTAGAAAGGGTAAAATTATAATTATTTAAAATTATTGGTCATATAAAGAAAGAATGAATATGGATGATCCAAGAGCGAGGGGTCTGAGTTAGGAGATCATTAATTCACTAATATGGAACCCCAAATCAATGGTTAAGTATAATTTAATCCTTTAATAAAGATTAAACGTACTTTATAAAATATTTTCAAAATTACAAGTTTACCCCTATGTTTTTAAGAGCTTGATAGTGAACTTGGTTTGATTTAATATCATTTGAACATGATTAAAGAAGAAAACTTAAATGATGATAAAAACTTTAAAACACTTCAAGCTTAAGCTGAATCAAGAGAGAAAAATGTAAAATTCCTTAATGATCAAATATACCTATATAAGTGCTTGCCCAAGTAATTCTTAAACTGACATTAAAAAGGGTAACCACGTGTCTTTACTTGTGGGCTAATTAAGACATCAAGACCAAACTGAGCACAGTTAAAACATGACAAGACTCCTAATGCAATTAATAAGGCCAAGTGAACTTAAAATGATTCAGGAGATTCTAAAGTTGTTCAGGGTCACACCCCAAATACCTTTACAAGATTTTGGATATTTTTAGAGGAAATTTGAGCTTATTACAATTTGTTGAGGAAATAATCCACAAAAATTGAAGGACTCGCCAAGATGTGATTTGAGCCCCTGTAACTCATAACACTAATGATAAATTCCAGTTACCATTTAACCTACACTAAAACCCAATGCTTAAGGGCATGAGTCTTGGATATGGTATTCATACCCTTGTGGGCGATTGGGGATATTTGAGATATGATGGTATATGGATCATCGAGCGATGCTATATGTCAGACATTTTGGGGTTAAAAGCAATGATGTGAAGCACTTATTGTGATAAAGAAAGTGGGATAATAGGATAGTATCTCCTAGCCTGAGGACCTTTAGGTAGGGAGTAGGATCGATGTTAATATTCACCTACACATATTGAAAAATTGCCCTTGCTTTCTTAGTCGCCACTAGAGTGGACCCTACTTTCCGTCTCTCGAGAAAACAAGCTATTTTGAGCATTTTTGGGAGCCTAAGCGTCTAACATTATTACCTGTGGGCCAAAAGCTGGCATGAGACTTCCATGCGCTTGGTTTTAAACACCCATGAAGGCATTTTAGGTGTCAGGGACTGGCACTGAGGAGCTGGTTTATCCCCGAAAACCCTGATTTACATTGGGAGTGCCTGACAGAGAATTTTCTCAATCTAAAAGCTAAGGGAAACCACATGTGACTAAAACTTGACCCCATAACTTCAAGAAGAAATATTTTTTAATGGCCATTCATCATGGGATTTGTCTCCAATGAGCATTCCAAAGCACGACACAAACATAGCATCCCAAACCCTTAGCCTAAATGATCATACGAAGGCCTTCACAGATCCAAAAACCATGAAAAGTTATGAATTTCTAGAAAACGACCACATAACTCAAAAGTGTACATTTGCGGAGTTTAAAACTAGGGTCTTGGTGCAGACGGACGCCCAAGACCCTCGCGGTGGTAAAAATCGATTCGAGCTTGAATATTCCCAAAATGTGTTAGGGAGATCTCAACAACTACACTTGACCTTATAAGACTCTGAATTATCAAAATGGACATAAAACACACTTGAAGTTAGAGCTAATATCAACTCACGTTGAATGTCCTAGGTAGGGCCAAATCGGTACCGGTCCTGGTTTCGTGCTCGTGGCACATACCAGGAGATCCGATGGGTTGTCCTGGATGTCGGGAAAATAAGCTTAGCTCCGTATCTTTAAATGAACACCCCGCTTATGTGACATCAAGTATATATATATATAAGATGATGCTATGAGTTTATTAAAAAAAAACAAAAAAAATCAATAATTTAGAAAACTCATCAAATATATGAATGATTCATTCCAAGAATGAATAAATCCGTGTACATGGTTGGTCTTCAAGAGTAGCATGAAAAGCTTAACAAAGAAGTGCATTAGAAGCTCATTTTATGTGCATGATGTCAAATGTTTGATAATAAGAATCAATGCTTGGAACCTTGATCTTATTGGAATTGGGTGTTGAAGGGTAATCTTAGTCAGTAGAGAAAACTATTGAAAATTATGTCAAGCATTAAAATAATTTTTGTACCTTATAGGAAACTCTTCTTGAACTATTTGTCACAAGCCATCATAGATTTCATGAGGTCGAGCTAAATTTTCCACAAATGTTATAAGTTTATCACTAGGCTTGACTACACGAGATGGATGTGCAGAGCTACAATGTCAAGAAGGATAGCTTCCCTAAGGAAGAGCTTCAGTATGTAGGGGGGTTATTACTGTGTACACTTACTTGGTGGATTTTGAGGTAATTATGCGTCTCTATTATTCATCATCGTCGATTGTCAAGTCTTACGTAAAAGTCGGAGTATCCCATTTTGAGACTCTATTTTCGTAAAAATTCTTCAAGCGATGCAAATGAGGTTAATCTTCTAGCTGAGTGATGTATATCATTGGAAAATGAAATTAAAGTTTGTTGTCTTAGATATCGAGAATGTGCCTTGGAGTGGAAAGCAATAGAACAAGAAGCCTGTTTATTGTGTCTTTTAACTATTGAAGAAATGCAAGCTTCTTTAAACGAGACTTCATTTCTCAAAGACGTTGCCTAAATGTTGCGTGCTAGAAAATTCATGGTGCTAGACTGATAATTTAATATCCAAGCATCGCACAAAAATTCATCACATGCACAGATAAAAAAAAAAAATAGCATGAATTGCACCAAGATTTTTATATTAAATAACTTTAGAAGATAAAAAACTTTGACGCCTATCCCAATCAATGTAATCCACTATGTGTTTGTAAGTATAAGAGTTCACCTTTCTCTCATAAAATAAAAAATAGGGTAGCAATATTACATAAAAATTTTCACTTGTCATTATACATAAATATATATATATATATATATATATAAGACACAATAACCATATTTAGACTATAATGGTGGCAAAAAGAGTGACAACAGGTAGTGATGCTCGATGGTGGTCGATGGAGACCAATAAGTGGTGTTCGATTATGGTCGATGGTTATTTGTAGGGTCATCTCTCCACAAATTTTATTTGATTGTGTTTGATGGTTATTTTCAAAAAAGTAAGTCATGTTTTTTTTTTAAATCAATTATTTTTATTTGATTAGATAATGTGATCAAAGATGTGGTCATTAATTAATTTAAAAAAGGGCAACAAAACCACTTTCCAAGTTTTCTTTCTATTATTTTTAAATGGAAATGAATTAGAGAAAGAAAAAAACAATGACAGACTTCAAAAGAGATGGTGATAGATGGAGTTAACAGCTTGAATAAATTAGAAGGAGCCTAAGTATGTAGATTTATGATGATTTTATCCTCCTTCCCATCACAGCTCATGGGAGGGGTGCCCATATTATCGACAATACTAGTAAATATAACAATTCAGTGAATAAGCATATTGATTAATCGATGGATGTTGATAGGTCCTGTTCACTGGCATACAAACTTTGTGTTGTTAACTCAAGTGTGAAAAGACAACATATGTGTGCATGCAAGCAGGTGGTGGAGTGAACTATAGGTTGTCATATTGCCAACCAATCGCTAACTGGCCAACAGGTCAAAAAATGTATAATGTATTGGATGTATCATGTAGGAAAAAAATGTGTTGGTTGATCATTAGAGGTTGGTCTATCAAGTCGAAAGCTTATCTTTGGGATAGATTATTAACATATCATAAGGTAAAATAAAATCATTGAAAGAGAGGGCTTATACACCGTAATATTGAATGGATCTTGATCAACAAAATAATCTGAATGGATTCAACTCACCTTGAGTAATATTAATAAAGGCCAGCAACAAGCAAAGCAAATCCACTAAAAGTTAATAGTTGCTACACAAATCATTATTAAATGCTAAAAAATAGCAGTTTATGACTTGAGATATTAGACATAGCATCTTTTTTAAATATATTGAGAATTTAATAATGTTTAGAAAAGAGATTATTTAAGCTACTATAGCTTTCTAACATTAAGAATTTAATCATGAATATGCTTTAGCATAGCTCTCATAATTGTTGCTTGGAAGTATGATGTTTGAGCAACTATTTCTTTCTAACATTTACATTGTCTTCAAGGATTTCACCCTCCATTACCATGACAAGACATATTTCATCCAAATTGAATATTGAGGCATACTTCTACAAATAATAACATAGCAGACATATTTGTTCAAGTATGAACTTTTTCGACAAAAAAGTTGTAATGATAAATATTAAAGTAGCTAAGAAATAAAAAAAAATGAAAATTTAGCAATTTCATTTAACATTAGGGTTATCCAAAAATTTTAATTAATAAAAAAGATATGTAATCAGAAAATTATATTGAATGACTAACAAGAAGAAGAAATAAATATTTATATTTTTTCAAGTAGATCTTTATCTAATACTCTCTTCTTTTTTAGGGTCTGTTTGGGGTAGTTCATAAGTGCGGGCGGCATTTTCAAAACGCCGCCGTACCGTTTGGTTCGCGCGTTTCGCCAGCTTATCCGAAATTGCGTTTGAGTTTTTATATTAAACGCAAGCCGCGGGTCGACCCCTGCGGCCGGCCCGGCCCGCAGGCCGCATTTCAGGATAAGCAACTTATCCTGAAACGCACAAACTGCCTCAAACGGACCCTTAGTTACATGTATGACAATTATAATCTTTTACATATAATTAGAATTTTTTTTAATAATGAATATTAATTTTTTTAGGGAAAATATAGGGTCATGCTTAATTTTAATGAAAAAAAAAACCAACTTACCACATGAAAACTCAGAATAAAATTCACTCAAAAATAAAATTAAAAAACAAAATCACCAAATAATGAACATTAAATCATAAAATATATCACTAGAATTGAAAATACCTCCTTCCTGACAAAACACAGCTACTTCGACAAACCGCCGGAAGACCATTTGTTCTCACGTGCGATATTTGAGTAGTTAATTCATTCAAAGTGACTTTACTCTGCGCAACACAGACAAGTGCATCGCCAATCAACTTAACAAGAATACGGCCGCACTGCGACGACACCGTCCTGCAATCCATTCTCGTTCTCCTGAGATCTGGCCGAGCTTTCTGTGGTTCATGGCGACCACAGGAGGCTCGTCATCCACGGCCCCGCTATTGGATGATCTGTCGCCGACGAGCCACCGGAGAATAGGCGGAGCAACGTGGGCGCAGACGCTCGGCAACATCGTGGTGTCAATTGTGGGGACGGGTGTGCTTGGTCTTCCCTACGCATTCCGCATTGCCGGATGGCTCGCCGGAACCATCGGCGTTGCTATTGCCGGCGCCTCTACCTTCTTTTGCATGCTCCTACTCGTCAGTAATTCCCCTTCACTCGATTTCTCATTTTCCGTTTCTCTGCCTTGGGGAATTCTTCGGATTTCACGTGTCGATTCATTTTGTTTCCTGATAGATTTGAAGCGATAGATATTTCATACAAATGTTTCATGGTGGAAGAAATTATAGGACTCCATTCTTACAACAGATCAGTTGAAATCAACAGCGATATTTTCATTGTGCATTTGTAAAAAAATTGCCCTAACACTTCACTCCTGCATTCTGTACAGAACGACATTGATTTTTCTGCATATTTTTAGGTCAAAGCTGCTTTGTATTTCTATCTGCTTTTTTTTTTAACTTTCCTAAACAATTAATTTGAACTGTTCTTCCAAAGCAAATATTTCTACTAGTATACAAGAACCTGCTCTTGTTGTTTCTTTATTTTATCTAATGGAACCTGTTTAATGGTGTAGCGATTCATCGGTGTTGGCGTGCTTCTGGTGATAGTAATCCCTTAGTATAATATATACTGTTATCATTATGATGTCGAAGTCTCAAGAAGCATGCTGACCTTTCAGCTGTCTTATTGCCATTTTTATGGGAATTTTGTAACATCTTGCGTTTTTCATCCTGAAATCAACGGGATTGTAGTTTGTAGATCACCACATTTTCCCTGATATAAAATAAGCCATTTTCCTTATTTTTGTAGATTCAATGCAGAGATAGATTAGAAGAAAGTGATGATGAAGAAATTAGTGATGCAACGACCATTCAAAGTTATGGGGATCTTGGCGCAAAAGCATTCGGAACAGCAGGTCGATTCCTTACTGAGTTTCTCGTACTCACCTCACAAGCAGGGAGTGCCGTTGCCTATTTAGTCTTCATTGGCCAGAATCTCTCCTCCTTGTTCACCAAAACCAACGAGTCTTCAGTACCACCTACTATCTTCATTTTCTTTCTACTCCTCCCATTTGAGCTATTCCTTTCCTTTATCCGCTCTCTTTCTTCCATTGCTCCATTTAGTGCCTTTGCAGATGGTTGCAATGTCCTTGCAATGGCTATTGTTATCAAAGAGGAAATTCAAATGTTTGACAGATTTTCTTGGCAAAGGACTGCCTTCAATGGGACTTGGGGTTTACCTTTTGCAGCGGGTGTGGCTGTCTTCTGCTTTGATGGCTTTAGCATGACTTTGCCACTGGAGGCATCAATGGCCGATAGAAAAAAGTTTCGTTGGGTGCTTGTTGTGGCATTTATGGCTATAATAACGGTATATATTAGCTTTGGGATTTTTGGGTATTTAGCCTATGGTGATGAGACCAAGGATATAATTACACTTAACCTCCCCAATGATTGGTATGCTATTGCCGTCAAGGTACATTTTAACTTTTGGATCTTTTCCTGACTGTTTCAAAAAGCATTTTTTTAACAGCTTAAGAATTAATTTTGTAAATATTTTATAGTTAAGCTGTTGCTCGTGCCAATAATTGATAAACTTTGTAAATACTCATAAAGCTAGTTTACAGTTGAATAAGCAATCCTGAAAACTTTGCTTTGCCTTCCCAATTTTTCAAACTTCAGCACAGGTTTGTAACAATGAATGGAAAATTTTATCAGATCTAACTTTATGTGCAGACTTTATAGATGAAATCATCATCAATAGCTCTTTGAGATGGCTTATGAATCCTCTTCTATTTCTTTAGGATGAGTGTTGCAAGGGTGGTTAACTGTATTTGCAACCCGCCGTCGCAGCACACACCACCCGCTGCGGGGCACCTAATTGTTAAAATTAATTCAATATAATCTCCTTATTGATGCATCTATTGTCGTTGTTATATCACTTACATGTCAAAACAACCAATGTCTTCTTTTCTCTTTTTTGTCTTCGGTGGGTGCAACCAGTATCATTGTTTTAATAAAATCATTTCTCAGCCCATTCTTTCTAATGTAAACCCACTTCTTCTTAATATACTCATTTTTTACAAGCTCAATTAAGTGCATTCATTGTTGCAGAAGACCACCCATCCTTTAAAATGTTCTTTTTGTTAAAGTATCTTTTCCATAAAATTGACCATCTATTCTTTTTAATGTGCTTCTTTTCTTGTGATTATATATTAGTTTAATTGCATGTGCATAAAGTGCATGTTCTTAGGATTAAAAAATCGATAAGATCATGATGAAAATGCATAATTCATGACTAATATAACAATACAACAACAACAACAACAACAAAGCCTTAATCCCACTACGTGGGGTCGGCTACATGAATCCTTTTTCTCCATTGCGTCCTATTTAGTGTCATATTTTCATTTAGTTCTAGTAAATTAAGATCATTTTTAATACAATAAGCCCAAGTCTTCCTAGGTCTACCTCTGCCTTTCTTAACACAAGTCGAATTTAAA